TTTTTTGAGTAAGAAGATGTTTAATTTTTCCAATAATACCGATAGTTTTTGAAATTTTTTTACCTAACATAGTTATATGTGGTTTCCAGGTCAATCGTTCATCAATGATTATACCTAAGAATTTGGCTTGACTCTCCTGAGGAAGGGTCTACATTTTTTAAAAAGATTTTGGCGCTTCTATTGTAGGTTTTATTTCTATTACAGAAAATAAGGTAGTATGTCTTCTTAACATTGACTGATAATGTATTTGCCTCAAACCACGATATAACCTTTTTCAATTCTTCGTTAGCCAGGTTTACTAGCGTATCAAAATTCGAGTTTGAAAGAAAAAGATTTGAATCATCTGCAAATAGGATAAAGAATATAATTGAGGATGCTTTTTCGAGGTCATTTAAATAAATCAAAAAAAGTAGGGGTCCTAGTATCGAACCCTGTGGGACACCACATTCTATCATTTTAAGTTGTGATTTATTATCATTAAGGGTTACGTATTGCTGTCTATTGGATAGATAAGAAGAGAACCATTTTATTGCGGTGTCACATATACCATATCGTTTTAGTTTATTGAGTAGAATGGAATGATTAACTGTATCAAAAGCCTTTGATAGATCGAGAAAGATTCCTATAGTGTATTCTTTGTTATCTATAGCGGTAGAGATTTTTTCCATTAAGTGTATGAGTGCTAGAGACGTAGAATAGCCCTTTCTGAAGCCATATTGGTGTTTATATAGGATGTTATTTTGATTTAAATGTTTCAGAAGACGATTATATACTAGTTTTTTTGTTGCTCATACTCACCAGCATCTATGTCGAGCTCCATATCCTCAGAGGATTCAAACACTGAGTCCATCAATGATGTGAACCTCTTAAACGTGGAGGATTCCATCAGCTCCTCCATAGTCAGCTGAGGCTGGGCCTGCTCTCGCTTCTCTCTCCTCTTTCTCTTCTCCTTTCTCTGCCGAATAACTGGAAATACACAATCATCAGCTTAGATATATTCCAAACTACATAATTGTGAAGATGTAAACTTGTAGATAGTTTTGGGGTAGATTTTGGTCAGCAGGGTTCCTATCTAAAGATCTAAAGTGCATTTTTCTTTTCATTTTTACCAATAACTGAAGGGGATATGTTAAAGTTTCAGACCTTCTTCCATGACAGCTGCTGTTCTTTCCTCTCTGTCCTTGGAGACAGCAACTGTCTCACCACCGCTGTCCTCATCCTTACTCCCAATCTCCATGGCCTTCAGAGCGTTGGCAGATGCCTTCCTCCGCCGTTTGTTCTTAATGCTGCTGTACATGTCTTCAAACGGATCCGGAAAGTTCTCAAGATCCATGATATCCGCTTCTTCTTGACCCTCAGAGTGTTTCCGTTTCTTGGCCCTTGATTTGGCTCCAGAGTTCATGTCCGCGTGGCGGTCCTGGGTCTGCGCGATAGGAGAGCTGTGAGACTTTTCCCTGGTACTTCTGACGGCACTTTCGTCCTGCTTGGGTACGAGCGCTTCGACGATATGCAGCACTTCCTCTGACTTGTCCTCAGCTGGCAACTGAAAATTTGGTACAACAAAGTTAAGTTACTTCTTGTGCACCTG